GGGCTCGCGGCGTGGATGAGGGGTGAGGGGTGAGGGGTGAGGGCGGGCTGGAAGGGGAGACGTGGGAACACTTGGGCGCAGTAGGCGGGAGAAGAGAGGAGGTGGCGGGGTGACCTGAGCGGGGGCTGCCCCGGCTTCAGACTCTTGTCCCTGCGTCCCCTTGGCTTTTGCGCCTCGTAAGTCCCCTCTGAGGTCGGAACCTGAGAGCCGCCCTGCCCTGGAGGAGACACCTGTTCTAACCTCGCCCAGGTGACTCGCAGGACCGCTGTAGGACACGGTTCCCCACTTCACCAGCCCCCTGACACCACACCCCGGACCCCGTGACACCCTCCTGACGCGGACAGTGCGTGACCGCGCGTCACGGGGTGGACCTGTCCTAGGGTTGTTACAGGGTCGGATCCCCTGTGGACGTGGGGTGGCAGGGTCGTGGGGTCGCACTTGGGCGCTCCGCACGCGGTCTCCCAGGGTGAAGTCCTCGCGCGTGAACGCGCAGCTCTACCCTGTGTCTCAGGTGCTGCTGGAGCGGTATTGAAGCAGCTTTTGGACTCCGAGTAACCTTTGCGATTTGTGCTGAAAATAGAGCCAATTCACGCTGAAAATAGAGCCATTTTCCTATGGGGTCCCGGCCTTTTCATGGTACGTAAAGCATTTGAAAAGCTTGAAAACCCTTAGTTTCTAAAACGCAAAGTTCTAGGGAGCTGGGGCACAGCTGATAGCCTTGATTTCCATCCTCCCACCTAAAGTGTTTTTATTGGTTTAGGCTGGGTGGGCTCCCAGTAATGCCCATTATGTTTCTTGGCCCTTCTTCCCACCGTGGCCATTCTAGTGAAATGATGGAATTAGGGTTGAAAACATCAAAACTCAGGTTATAGAATTGCCACAGGGGCTTGGGCCATATTTTTCTTAGACATATGAATATCCAGGTAAGGACTATTTAATTTTGGCCAATAAGTAAAGTTCCTTCTTTGAGCCTTGCCCCGCTACCTGTCAGCATTTCTTAAATCTAATCCCTCATGGTGGAATCCAGAGAGAAAAAATCTCTTGGAGAAGATGTTTGTAGAAGGTTGCCTGATTTGACAGGATATTTCTTCTACATCTCTAGAAGGAAGAATTATGGACTGGAAAGGGGAAAAGGGATAGGTTAAAAAAAAAACAATGCAGGATGCTTAGGATGGAAAGCAGTTTTCTGACAGATGGTGGCAACATTTTGACAAGATAGAAAGCCTTAGCATAGCTTGCCAAAATTATCTCATCCATTTCTCCCACTTGGTAGAACACTACTTAAGATTTGATTAAAATCATTGAAAAGCATTCAGTTACAATGCTAATTAAATATAAAAGTAGGACAAATATTTTGAAACTTTCAGAGAGAGATTGGAAGACCACTTTGGTTTAACTAGGCTGGAATCTGTATTTGAATGCAATTTTTTTTTTAATTGAAGTGCATGCAACTTCAAAGGAACTTTTCTACAGTGGCTCTATAAAGATCTTCTAGAAAGAGAAATTATGAAAATTAAAGTACATGCAGACATTTTTTACCCATATCTTTTAAGCGCTACTTCCTTCTCATTCTGTTCATGGAAAATGTAGATGCAACCATTTTATGTAGTAAAGTTAAAAAAAAACCAAACATGTTGAATTTGTTAGCTCCGTGTTTCCCCCTGGTGGTGTAGTACTTCTACAAAAAAACCCAAGCTAAAATCCTCCCTTTGATATAGTTAGTAATCTGTAGCATGTTGAAAATTTAAATCAGAGAGGTATAGACAAGATGTCAGTCTTCTTTCTCCAAATTTGGCCCACTCTTTTCAAATGCTCTAAATCTTAACAACCAGGGGAGGATTAGCCCTTGAGGCTGATCAATTTAGAGAAATATTGGAGATCTGCAGCAGGATTCCTGCATTATTCTAGAGTTGGCTTGGTCTTTAAGGGTCAGTGAAGAGTACATATTTAAAATAACATGGAGAAGCCTCATCTGAAACTTATTGAAATCTAATTTCCATGGGATCCACTTGTAAAGTTAATTTTTATGTGTGTGAATTTAGTTTTTAACTGCCCCAGGGTCATTCTTATTGATGGGAGAGGTTGGGGAATCTGAGAACTACAAGTAGCGTATGTGGCCTTCAATAGACTGCAGGCTTCTAATGAGGGAATTTGGGAGTGAAAGAGCTATATAGCAATGGTATTTAAGAGCTATAAAAAGGATGGAAGAAAATAAGCTTTGGGTGTCCCTTTCCTGCCAGATACACCTTTTTCTACACCTATACCCACATGCCGTTTGAGGTATGTCAGATTTTCTTTTAGTTAAAAAGACTGTCTTTAAAGAGTACAAGGATCACATAAGCAGAAAATTTGTATATGTACACAGCTGCAAGATTATCAGAAGGCAGATTGGATATTATGTTCATCCTAGCAATGCCTGAAAAAGTTTAAATTACTATTCTGAGGTAGCTGCTTGAAAAAAAATAGAACATAAGCATTTGATGCCACATAATTTATGAAAATCTGAATAATTCCATAAGTTCTCAGTTGTTAATGTTTGTATAAATGTTAATACTTTGAAAGCCTTTCCACATGTTGATTTATGGTATAGCTTCAATTATTTGTAATATGCAGAGAGAAGACCTGAGTTAGTGTAACACTTGAAAAGTGAAATATATGTAACTTTATGTGATATTTATTTTGAAATTCAAATACAATAACTGCTAACAGTGGGTTTTGTATTCTTTAAATCTTGTTGAGGTAGCTTTAAGGAATAAATATGACTGACTTGTAATTCTCAGTATTTATGTGCATACAGTCTGTGGCTACAACAGAAAGCAAAATATGTGCTCAGTATACCTTCAGTAAACATCACTTATCTGTGATGATGGTGATAAAATACTCCTCCCTGAAAAATCGCTTGAGTCTAAATTCTGTAATTTGTTAAATTTTATTAACATATGTAAGCTTCAAATTAGCCCATTTTGCACACGTGAGGCCCTGGATTCGGTTCCCAGCAGCCCCCAACCCCTCAAAATTAGCACATTTTAATTGCCGATTTATCCTTTAATAAACAATATTCTACACGGAAAAATAATTTGAATAACTCCCTCCAATTCAATTGGCCTTCAGTAAACACGGGCTCAGTTCATGTTTCCAAGTAAATTCATAAAATTTCAGTGTAATGTGGGACTTCAGGCACAGTTCATGTCTACAACTGTTTTGGTCCATATCCCAAATTTACAGCAGATTCTAATAAACAGTGTTGGTATGTTGATTGTAAGGATGAAGAAGTAGAACTTGGTGACTTCAACCTTGTCAATGTATGTGGCCCCTTGAACTTTTTATTTGTGCGTATGAACAATTATCTCACAGACTACAAGCAAACTAGAAAAATTAAAAACAGTATGATCAAATTTGAAAGTAGATAAACTGATGATTTGTAGTTATTTTTGTTTGGTACTGGGGATCGAACTCAAGACCTTGTGCTTGCAAGGCAGGCAGCAGCACCACTGAGCTAAGTACCCAGCTCACTTTGTAGTTATAAAAGTACACTATTCTTAAACTCACTAGGTTTGTTATTTTTATGACAATGGGAAGATCATAAACTTCAGGTAAACTAATTGCTGAATTCCACCAATTGGCTTGATATAATTTATGATAATTATATATGATACTTCTACATAATTAAGGTGTTCTGGGCCATGTCTTGATCTTCTTAGTATCATATAAAATGGCACTATGGAGAAACTGAACTTTTTTTTCCCCCTTAAATTCTTTCATTGGTACATTTTAGGTATACAATATATTTACATTTATCATTGGAAACTTGTACCTTTACATTATGTATCATGGTTCCCATTTTTTCCCCATTCCCCTGTCCTCCCTTCAACTCCTCTACCCCTCCCTATGTATAGACTTTGTTTCCAGTTTTTCCTTTTCTTATACTTTTTTCTTTCCCTTCTTTCCTCTCTCCTACCCCTCCCACTTTCCTACCCTTTTGCAACTTTTCTTCCTATTTCACATTATCAGTTATTCATTAGGTCCTGGGATTTAGCTTGGTGGCATCACACCTGCCTTGAAAGTACAAGGTCCAGAGTTCAATCCCCGGTACCAAAAAACAAAACAAAGAAAATTCGCATTTCACTTCTTATTTACACTTTCAGTTTCTCACACCAGAGAAACTATTCGGTATTTACTTAAGAATATGCCCTCAATGTGCAAAAATGAACTTTTTAAAGTGGAAGATAAATTATTACATACCATATTTCCCTCTTCTTTCCCATGAAAGATACCACCTTATATAAATGGCAGTCCCTGTTAATCATCTATGTATGGTAATGCCCATAATTTTTTTCCTCAGGGGAAACATAACAGTAGCTGTCATAATTTAAAACTATACAGACATTCCTTTAAAGACTGGATTTGATTCCTGTGACTAAGTAGTTAAATGAATTGGTTGCTAAATGAGGAATTGTATATAGTATGTATATTACAATATTCAGAACAAAGAAATTATCAAAGGAAACTCCAACTCGGTGACTTTCTTTTTATTTATATAACTCACATGCAGAACAGTAATATATAACAACATAAAACTATAGTACTGTACAGTACAGTATGGTCAACAGAAATTACAGTACTGTATAAGTAAGGTATATTGTACAAAAAGACAGGCTGTATTAAAAAGATAATAAAACTACAAAAAAAAGAGACAGTTATAACTCTGAACAGTGAGCCTTGGTCATAAGTCCAAACAGTCGTTAAACAGGTAGATTGTTAAATGAGGAATATGTATAATTCTGTGCTCTTCCCCAAAAGTCTTTATAGTAATACCTTGGTTCACTATGCTTCTGTTTGAAAACAATTCAGTTCACAAACAAAAAGTGTTTGACAAAATTTTGCATTTTTTCACAAACTCCAGTAAAACAAATTAAGTTCATATATTGAGGTACTACTGTACTTGTATGTTTTGAAAGAGCTCTTGTTCATCCAGTAATCTTCCAAATACAGATATTCTTCCTTTAACAACCTAACAATTCAATCTTTTTTTGTACAATTCTGTACATCCTCTTGATAGAACCTCAGTATCTTTTTTGTACAGTATACCTTGTTTACACAGTACTGTAATTTTTCCTAGTTGTACTGTATAGTACTGTAGTTTTATATTCTGTTGTACATTACAGTGCTGCATGTAAGAGGCAAATACAAGCAAAATAACCATGTTGGAGTTTCCTTGGACTGTTTCTTCTGAATATTGTAATGTACATATTCGTTTAATGTCATTTTGGTTGCAAGAACAGAAGTGTTCTAAAATGAGAAATGTCTGTAGAATTCAATTTTCCTTTTAATCCAACTTCTAGCCTTGTGTTTGGAAATTATAGTAAAGTTTTCCTCGGACTTTAGAAAAAGGCTAAGGAAAGAGGAGAAATTAAATATCAACAAAGTGAAAATTCTGCTTCTTACTATGAAGTCTTTTGAGGTATTACTAAGTAAAAAGGTTTATATGATATTTGTGTATATTCTACTGTCTTTGTGTATTGAAATTATTAAATAGTTTTCATTTCCTTTATGGTGACTACAGTTCTTACTATAGCAGAAGTAGTAGATGTGAACTCTACAGAGACAATTTTCTCTACTCTGTAATCTATAAGAATTTTCATCCAAGGACAAAGCTGGTAAGTAATCATTTCTTTATAATACTGTGGGGACTATATGTGTTGCCATATTTTGTTAATCCTAGTTCTACATCACTAGTTTGAGTGAACTAAGCTACAATAAAGGTCTAAAATGTGGAAAATCCTATAGTCTTTAATTTTACAGGTCTAATTTCTAATATTTGAGAAGCTTATATATATAGAACAATATTCAATTATATGTTAACTATAAAAAGTATATTAGAAACAAGAGTACCGTAAGATGGTTAAATTTAAATCTGGTTTTGTGATTTTAAAATAATAAGAATCAAAATAAATATAAATAAAATTTTTTAAAGTTTTGGAGAATAGCAATCTGGAGAAAAGCTTAAGTTGTTGTGCTGAGGTAATCAAGGGCTCAGGGTGACTGTACTGCATTTAAAGTAGGTGAAATGCTGTCGTACTGGGGATAGTGCTGCTCATTTCCAAGACATACAGGGCAAAAGCATTCAGAGAGACTGAAGTTAGAAGAAGTTGATAACTTTGAAATTAACTGCTTTAAGATTGGACTTTCTTACCATCTCATTATAGATCTAAGTAGTGATCATTTGCCAAGAATAGCTTGTATACCCACTTAACCTTCTAACCTCATGATACTGTGGTTAATTTTGGAAAGCAAATGGTGCTTTATGTCTAGGGCAGTAGATGACATGCATTTCTAATGATCGAAAATATACATTTATAGAACTTGAAGAATATTATGGAAAACTAATGAGCACAGAAATGGTCATGTATTTTACTCAGTTTTTGGCCATGTGACTATCATTTATATGTTTAATCTTTCTGGTTCATGTAATAATCTCCAAGGATGTACACATTAACACTGACAGAAATGGAACTGTGGACTTTATTTTTATTTATTTTTTGGTGCTGGAGATTGAACTCAGGACCTTGGACTGATTTGCAAGGCAGGTGGTAGCACCACTGAGCTAAATTCCCAGCCCAACTGTGGACTCTTAATGAATCACCTCTACTAAAATGAGTGGGAGGAAAACTGTAAAGAATTCAGTGTTCAAATAGAATCGTTGAAGCTGGTTCTCTGAAATGTAGGATAGGGTACAGATTTCACACAGTAAAAAGTGGTCCAAGAGTGTGGTAATCTGAAAGTGGAATTCAGGAGCAAGGACAGTGTTATTCCTCACATCTTTTCTCTTAAGTCAGAAAAAGAGGAGAAAAATAAGGACAAATGGCAATAAGATCTAAGGGTTCTAACTGGATTTTCATTAAAGTGTCAAGAAATGAGAAATAACGCAGGCATGGGGAGACATGCCTGTAATCCTAGCATTTAGGAGACTGAGACAGGAGAATCATCATGAGTCTGAGGTCAGTCTGGGCTACATAGTGAGTTCAAGGCCGGCTTGAACTACATAGCCAGACTCTGTCTCAAAAAAAACAAAACAAAAAACTCCCAATGGTACCTTGGTTTACAAACTTGATTTGTTTTATGATTTTGGGAAACATGGCTGTGTTCATGTTTGTATTTGTATGGGGAAGTTGACTGGTTGTATTTGTCACCCAATGTGCAGTATGCAAACAAATAGAAGCAAAATTTTGCCAAACACTTTTGTTTGCAAACACAGTTGTTTGCAAACAGAAGCATTTGTGAACTGAGGTATTACTGTAAATTAAGATAAGAGTATATTGTCAAATGGACTTTCTAGTAGATATGATTGAAGGTTGGGGCACAGTGAGAAAAATGATTGGGGAAGAAGTTGAATTGAGTGTGGAATGAGTGAAGGTAAAATGTAATAGAGGCTTGTGCTTATGAGTGAGCAAATAAAACACATGAAAGAAGCATTTGTGTAGGAGAGAAAATAGATGTATATTACAGGAAATTCAAAATCCTTAAGGCATTTCTTGGAAAAGTCACTAGGCTGACTGGCCCCCTTATTTCAAGAGAAGCTTTCCTAAGACAGTGTTCAGAGATGTATTTTGAGTATTGATTATAGATTGGGTATTGAATTTGTAGGCTTCAGTGACATAGGACCAGGGTATGAGGAGGTCATGGTGTGGGGAGTACTGTGATGGTTTCCTCCTTCACATGTTTACAGAGCTGTAGCATTTTGTAGGAAATATTCATGATGAAGACTGATCCTCGTGGGTAAGTTTGTTATTGTCATATAGTAGTAGTTTGAAAGATTTTATAAATCATTTCCCAGCCACCACTGATGGTGCAATTCTTTATGAATTAGTAATTCTAGAGTTTGTATTACTTAACATTTTCACTTAAAGTTAATCTTTATTATCAAATTAGTTTTATATTATATCAAATGCAGCCATATACACATTTGATTTTCCAGTCAGGAGTAATGGTGATCATCACCACTTACTGAATCCTTATATTCCAGGTGTTTTGAATGTATAGCTTCATTTTATTCTTCTGTATCCCTTTTAAATAAGCATAGATTGAGTATCCCTTATCTGGAATGCTTGAAGTGTCTGATTTTGGAATTTTTTCAGATTTTGGAAAACTTGTATAGACTTTATTGCATAGACTTTATTGGTCAAGCATCCCTAAACTGAAAATTCAAAATCTGCTGCTCCAGGATTCAACATCTAGATGTGAGTACTGACAAAATATCAAAAAAATAATCAGCTTTGGGGACATTTCAAACTTGCAGGTTGGGGATGCCCCACATACAGTATTATTCTGTCCCTCCTCTCTCTGTCCTCATGTGTAGATGAGGAAACAGTGACTTTTGTCCAGAATCATGCACCTCTTATAGGGTGGAACATTCTACTATGGAACTTGGATTTGCACACTAGCTTTCTGGCTCCAGAGCCCATGCTCTGTGTGCCTATACATACATAGTATGAGTTGAGAGTCACTCAGAAAACATCATACTTTCAATGGGTGGTATAGGTATCACAGTTTACACAATAGAAAATGGTTTTGAGAGTTGCTACATGGAATGAAAACTAGTTTATTTTTTCTATAAACATTTTAAAGATAGGAATTCATGCCAGTACACTCACTATCAGTATTGCGAAGGACTATTGCCTAAAGCCAACCAGCTGCTGTTATTCAAATGACCACAACTAGTGGTATAACCCTAGTAAAATTTTGAAGAGCTGACTCTCAGTCTTGTGGTCTTTGAATCTGGCCTGGTCAGAAGTGTCCCAGAGAGGATTAAATTAGCCCTGCAACCTGATACACCTAGTATGTAATGCCAAAGTGCAAATTTATTAATTTACAGTGTACCAGAATGATCAGTGTAGTTACTTCTAGTTGGTGAACCTAGTTGGGGAACTAAATTATAGTCAGGATATTTCTCTATAAATAACAGGCACTTTGAATATGTTTTGTTTTCCACAGTATTTATCTGTTTGAGAAATTCCTCAAGGATTTCACCAGTAGTAGCTGCTATTGGCATGTACTGCAGTCTTTATAAATAGCCTCTACCCCTGGGCCCCACCACTAGGGGCTCTGATACCATAGAAACAGTTGTTAATAAACATGGGTATTTTAGAAAATATGTGGGTTCAGAATCAAAGGAAGGGAGGAATGTGTGAAAAGCAGAAATGTTAAAGGGGTTGTATTTATTTCAAGGATAGATTCTAAGTAGTATTCATTTGCTTGAGTGAGGGAATCTCTTTATCTAAAATATAGTTCTATAATTGTCTGCAGGGTTCCCCCTACCCATCTCTGGTGTAATGTCTGAAATTTCACCAACTAGAGATTGGTTTCTTAAAACTCTAAATATCTATTTATGCCAGAAATTCATCATGGCTTCCCAAATACCCATATTCCATTGCTTACCTTCATTTTTGTAGGGTATCAGAGTACCCAGCAAAAATAACCTTTAATTGAACCAGTCATGACAATCCATTTCCCTTCCCAGTAATTGTGAAGGGAAGTCTGCTGAGTTCAGGGAAATCTTTTGCTTTTCTGATAAAAAAGGACATAAGTGGCTATTACTCTCCTCTTTCCTCTTGCCTTAAATGCAAATCTGAAGCCTGAAGCTTTAGCAGCTATCTTTCAACCCTGAGATACCAAATATGAGGTTGAAAATGTGATTTTAACAAGCTGAGGGCCTTGGGAGAGAATGATCAAAAGAGTCTGTAAAAAAGATAGGGAGAAGAAAGTTATAGCTCTTGTATAACATGTGGTTAACCTACGCTTTCTATTCCATGGAAAGCTAATCTGTATCACTATTCCATGGAAATTTGAGCCTGTAGTGTTAATAGAAATAGAAAAATCTTTGGAATATTGTCATGTGTTGTTTACCTTTTTTGACTTTCCAGAAGGATCTTACAGGAGCAGGTGAGCTTAATGCTTTTTCAGCATGAAAACAAAGGGAGAAAAGACAGTTTTGTTTTACCAAGTTTGCCTTTTGTTCCCACTCCAGATTGACAAAGAGCTCCATAATTTGGAGTTTTGCAGAGGTTAGCAGTAGTACCTCCCCACATAAGGCTATTTTTAGAATTGCCTAAGTCTATTTTAAGAGTTCAGAGGTCAGTGGCTAAGGGATGAGATTCTCCAGGCCCAGTGATTATTTGAAAATTTTTTTGGTTTATGCTTTTTTTTAATACAAGAAATTGATTTGAAGCAAATAGGACAGAATTTTGATAATGTTTTTGATGGAACTATGTTACACTGGTGGCACTGACTTTGATTTTTTAAAAATAGTGCTGAGAATGGAACTAGGGGCCTCATGCCTTGTAGCAAGCACTCTACCACTGAGCTACACCCTGGCCCAGGTGCACATGTTTTTAACCTGCAAACAATTATTTTTTCCTCCCTTCAATTCTAATCCCCAAATCCCTAAGACATATCAGTATGAAATAGGCTATAAAAGCTGTGGGACCCCTGAGAAGGGTATTATTTTAAAGTCTATGTGGCCTCCTAAGATTCCCTGAGACTTAAACTAGGAAGGTCTGTATATCTAACCAAGAATTTTATTTCCTGCCAAGGAATCTGTGATTTTAGAAGGTAAAATATGATATGGGTTTTGGACTGTTGATCACTCTCTGCTTCCCATTATCCCTTTTTTAAGTGAGAATTTTAATTGAAGTTACTCTGTTCTTTCTTTTTCATTATTTATATGGGAGGGGAGTCTAGCAAAATATTATCTTTTAGCTGTACAGATGAGTGACAGGTTGTCAGATTTGGACCTGACAGAGCAGATAGAAAAATCACCCAAAGCTAGATGCAGTTATTGGATAATATGGTAGGTTGTCTTTGTTAAATAGAGAATGTGTATTCTGTTTAATGCATGGTTTGGGAAGGATACATGTGCATATTGGGTTGAAGACTGTAGCAGACACTGTTGGTTGGCTGATATATTGTCGATTCCTTACCTCTACCACAAAAATTAGAAAAGGTAAATATTTAATTTTCAAACATTTCTTACCATAGTGGGTATATAATATGATTATAAATCATAAATCCGCTGAGCACCTCATGGAAAGCTTTTATCTAATATAAGGGTTAGTCATGGTTGGAGTGACCCTTTTTTCTGCTTTACTCTTAAATGTGGTGCTTGAAATTGTAGGGACCACCTTAGAGTTATTAGGCAATAAGCATGAGTACAAAAAGTTAATATGCTTAGGATAGCAGAGAAAAAGGAAATATTGTTGGCATCATTGATTAGTAAACCAACCTTAACAATTGCTCAGTTCAAGATTTCTTACCCTATGAGAGAAATTAATTCGTATATGTTTATGCTATTGTGAACTAGAGTTGTTACAACTCAATTCTAAACTGATTATATTAGATATTACATATATTATGAAGATCTGTCTATGCTACAACATCAGGGACAGGTTTTATTTGTTTTTTAAGTGTGATGCCTTATTAGTAAATAATGGTTACATGAAGCCAGGGAAAGATTTTAAGAATTTTTTTATGATATGCTAATTCACATGTAAAATTGCATTGAAATGTTACTATTGACAAGTGTATTAGTCTGTTTTCATTATTATTATTATGAAATACCAGAGGTAGCCTAACTTTAAAAAGAAAACGGGTTAAGTGACAGTTCTAGAGGTCTATGATTAGGCAAGTCCACTATTTAGCCTCTAGTGAGGACCTAATGCTGGGTGACATCCTTAGGGCTGGGCATGTGTGGGAAGAGATAATGTCCCCAAACAGGAAGCCAGGGTTGATTCCTCTTGTAACAAACTCTTTGGAGAGTTCATAGATGCCACAGGAGCTCCATAATCACCTCCAAGGGAAGCTCCCCCATGACCACAGACCTCCCACTAGGTCTCAGCTCTTAAAGGTTCCTTCCAGTACCCCAACATTGTCACCTTGGGGCCAGCTTCTCACACAGGAAGTCTGAGGAACAAATCATATCCAGATCTTACCAACAGACATTTCTACATGCGGCTCTTTAAGTTTTTACTTCAGGAATAGAATATTGGCATAATTGAGCCTTGCACTTCTGATGCAGTTAGGAAACACATTCTGAAAATTGGCTTTCCATGCTGTGTGTATACAGTAAGAAATGCTAAAAGTGTTTACAGCCTAATAAAAGTCTTCAGAAAATTTATTTTTAGTCCAGTAGAATATTTTATTCTAAATGCTTTATATTAGAATATGCACTTTTCCCCTCCAGTTTTCATCATTTTAGAAAACATTTTTATTCTAATTGTTGATTACATGAAATTCAAGAATTTTGCTTTTCCTATTTTTGCTTGTCTAAAAATTATTGGTAATAGCCATGTGTGCCAGCTTTTTATATCATGAAAAGCTACTTGAACACTAACCAGAGGAAATATAGGGCTAGTGAAATACACATACTTCTGTGGATATCATTATAAAAATTATATTTGGCCTGCAAGGAAAGGTAGTTTTAAAATTTTTATGTTAGGTATTCACATATGGGCAAGATATCCAAATATTTTTCCTAGAAGAGTATTTTAGTCTGCTTTATTTGTTGACATTGAATTCTAAAATGGAAAACTTTTGAAAATAATCAGAAAGGGCGTGGCTCTGCGTGTTCTGTTATTATGGACCAAAATATGTAAGAAGTGACTGGGGGAGCATTCAGATGAATTGGTCTCAACTGTTATTTTCTTGCTGCCTTCACACCCCCGTAGTTTGCTTTCCTTTCATGTTGCACTCTGAACAGAGCTGACAAATCAGTAATATTGTGAGACTAATAAAGTTAATATCTGACTGGAAGATTTTAAAATGTATGATAAATGTATTTTAACCAAATCACTAAAAAATCTTTTGGTTTCTTTCTACTGAAATTTGAGCCCTCTGTTAAAGAAGTTTGAAAGTTAGTTTAAAGCTTGGATGTTTTCCTCTTAAAATTACTTCTCATTGTAAGATTACTCCTTGATTGTGGTTGAAATGGTGGCTCTGTGACTGTTATATGAGGGCAATTTTACAAAGGTTCTCGTGTCTTTTTATTGTTACCTTGTTTGTTGACTTTTCTTAAGTGTGCCTTTTTTCCCCCCACCGTGGGAGGCATTATTGCTGACTGGTTAACTCCCTCTCCAACTTTGTCTCATGCTATATTCTACTTACACTGCAGTGGTCTTCTTTGACTACAGGAGTACTAGCTGCTTGAGTATTACCTAGGTCCCCCACTCTTATGAGATTGCAAAGG